TAAAAAGCATACATGACTTATTGCTAAACTCACAGCATCAATAAAAGCCAGTTTTCTTATCTGGAGTAAAACTGAGTCACTGCTCACAGCACAGCGGTCCTGCTCTAATTAACACAGTAACACAGAACTAGCAGACTCATTTTTCAGCCAAGTCACAAAAACGTTGAGTACTGCTACTAGAATCATTATTCCTCACAGAATAATTAGTATTGTTATATACCTAGTAGCAAGCTTACACCTTGCTTATGACATGGTGTGCCTTACAGGCTAGGACCTTCGTTTAACTTCCCAGGCTTTATATTTGCACCCCTGGCAAGAACGAGAGAAAAGGAAAAAAAGAACTGAAAACTACTGAAAACAACTGAGCAGTTGATTTCCTCCAGAAATGTTCTAGGAGTGAGATGCCTTGTCTCCTCCAAAGGAATGGACTCTTCAGTTTGCAATGCATTTGGTGCTTTCCCCATAAACAGCTTGTCCCAGTTCATTTAGCAATAATGTTTTGTGCAGTTAAGACATAACTACATGAGTAGTTATACGTAAGTCACGGTAATGTCTCAATGCAGTCAAGTACCTATTTTTATGCTGAACCAGCAACCGATGCAGCTTTTCAGTTTCTCCACTCCCGTACAGGTAGTCTGCTTGCTCTATAACTTCTTCCACTTAAGGAATTAAAATCGTGGAAACAGAAGAACAAATTACATGTAATTAGGACATTATAGCATGAACAAAACATTTTCGAGCAAGACAACCTAGCTGAAACACAAAGAACAAAGGATGTACTTCCTTTTTAGGCTGTCATTCCAAACAACTTATACGCACAGCAGGATTGGATAACCTACATTTACAATGAAAACTAGGAAGAGAAACAGTGCTGAATACACGCCTCTCTCACGGCACTACAAAACAGCTTTCGGCAACAGAGCTTTGGATGCTTAATGGATTTAACATTCAAAAGTGTCTTTCTCAATGCATCAGACTACTAGAAGCAATTTTTCTTCTTTGTGAAAATGGCAGAAAAGAAAAAAAAAACAAATGTATGAAAAGTATGACCAGGAGGGCAAGTGCAGTAGAGATCTGAGAATAACAAAACTCCTTCATTAGTATATGTACAGAATTTAAATCTGATAATAAAAGTGAAAAAAAAAATTAAATATTCTTCATTCTCAATATGGTTCCATAGTTTTGCCAGAATAGGACTGCAGATTGAGTGGGTCCCATTATCTTACTCAACACGCCAAAATGAAACATTGCTCAAAGGTTTTCTGACTGAAGTCCTTAAGATTTTCACAAATACGACTCCAAAAAATAAAGTTCATCTACTGAAACCTCTATGTGTTCAAGATACTAAAAGCAAAAATAATTTGAAAAATCAGAATTGGCTTTCTAGAGTATCAATTTATGAACTAAGTACCCATTGTTCTTATGATACTTCAATTCTTTTTCTAGAGAATACTTTAAAACACAACAGAAATAGGGAAGTACGATTTCCACAACTGGCTGAATATAATAATATATAAATAAATATAATATGTATATAGTACATAAAACAGCATTCCAGAAACAGAAATATCAAACACCACACAATACAGGATTCTAGCATGAAAACAGATGGAATTAGGAGGAAAAATACCCGAAGGGAAGCAGGTAGATAATTCTATTGAAGTTCGTAACTGTACAGGAGAAGAACAAACTCCGAGTTTACTCTTCTGCCAACATTAAAACATGAAAAAATTACCTTTTAAGTCAAAAGCCTTGTCTAATTTCTTACAGAACTTTCAGCTATGCTTATCGTCTCTTTGGTGTTACTCCTGGGTCTGTGATCAAACTTCTAAGTCAACACATAAGCTCTATCCCCTGCTTCATAGAAATGAATAGTGTTTATAAACTTTCTTTTTTCAAGTTATCTGCTGAATATGGTAGTGACGTTTCACAGCAGCACAGTTTTACTTACAGAAGAAAAAACCTGCTAAACATAAAAGCAGCCTCTTCTCTAGCTTAAAAAGATACTAGAATATACATCACTGAAGATTAGGAAAGCATTCTAGATAATTTTTAACCCTGCCATCTCTAAATGCCTCCTATCAACCATTTCAAAGATAAGATAAGGTAACGGTCTACGTGGACTTTGGATTTTAGTGCCTAAGATCAGCTTCGTGGTACATCTTCAGTATTATCTTCAGTGAACTGTTATGTTTGCTTGTTGAGGCTCCCTGAACGCTACTAACATATCTAATGACTAAATGCTCAGAACTCAAACTTCTGAACACATTTCCCACCAGGTGTTTTACGTAAATTATTAGACTTTTATTTCTTTGAGAGTATTTTTCAGGTATTTCTTTTTTACTCTTATTTTCACCGTATCTACTACTTGTCTTGCATAGAAAGCACACTAACATTGCTTTTCTTGGCAATGTAAATGCCAGATTCAAGTGAGAGCACTAAAAAAGACCAAAGGCAACTAAGTAGTGTTATTTATGTTCCTCGTGGGAAATTTTCTTACTTGTGTACTGAGTAGCTATTCACTGAAGCTCCTTCTATTACAGCAAATGGAACAGTTCCTTATCTGTTCAAAATTCCATTGTCTGAATTTTTATTTCTATAAGCATAAATATCTAAGATGTTCCTCTCTGCGACACAGAGAAACAGGTTGTCTGAACTGACTACTGTCTAATCTACACAGTAAACATACATTGCAGTTAGGCTCATTCTCCATTCAGTTAGGCTTACTTACAAAACCCCTTAATTTACCATGTGATAGACAAGTTTCTAAGGCTGCAACAATATCCCCTTTTAAGATAATGTTACTTTTCTTCCAGTAGTGAGACTATCTTTATTCAGATCTTGAAAAGGACATTTTATCACTTGCTCTATTTGTTTCTAGTAGGTAAAGCAAGGCTTTTCTTCCCCTTTTTCAGTGTGACATAAATACAAAACATTTCTCGATTTTGTTTGAAATGCAATCTCAGTGCTGCTCGACTAAATTAAATGGGAATTGCACTGTGTTCATATTGAAAATCTGAACTAACTAAGATTTCCAGAAATTGATTAAGGTTTGGTCTGCATTCCTAACTGAACCATATCTTTCTCAGTAAGTTTTTTAAAGCTTGGGCAACAAGTTAGGTATCATACAACCTGTATGTGTGTTATATCCTAGACAGGATGAGCTCCTAGATCTGCTTTCAGTGACACTTGAAAGAATCACTTGTTAAAACTGCTACAAGGCTACCCTGAACCAATTCAAAAGCATCCTGTCATAGAAACACACTGCATGCAGTCTTAATGGCGAAAATCAAAAGCATTGCACCATTTTCCTATGGCACTACAAATTTTAAGTTTTGCATTAGAATAACCTACATACTTCAAAATTTGAAAAAAATTACCTTTGAAGCTTGCATGAACCTCAGCAAAGCCAGAAATCAGCTTGTGAGCTTCATAAAGCAAAAAGGACCCTGCTGAGAGCGTAAACCCCCTCTGAAGGCTTTTTCTAAGCACCTGCATGGGATCATAAGAGACGTATTAAACGTTGTCACTCAGAGTTAAAAATGTTTTTCTCGTCTCTAGCACCAGTTATATTTCAGATTTTGAACAAAGACTGTTAAAAGTTAAAAAACCTTCGTAAGAAAAAAACACGTCATCAAGAAGGTATTTTCTTAAGTTTTTCCAACAGGGGCTCATAATTACGCTTTAAAATATGAACAGAGCACTAGACTAAAAATAAACCATAAATACGGAGCAAACACAAGGTAAGAATGAAAAAAACCAAACTTGTGGTTTTCAAGCGAGCACAGAGATCCCAGCTTTTGCAAAAATGACCAACCAGCCTTTCGCCACGTCCCGCGATGCCGGAGTCTCCACAGCTGCTCCCCGCACCCGCCTCCCTCCCCGCCGGCCGAGAAG